AGAACTCACCAATTATGGGCTTGACCAAAAGGGAGTGACAGACGGCAGCAAATGACAAATGACTGTCATCATCACAGCTGTGAAACCCAACGTGACGCCGTCGGTCGAAATTTCATAGAGAACGACATCTCCTCCCGGGTGTCGACGCCTTTAGACTAAACAACAAAGGCCAAAATATGCACTCCATGTGTGGATCATTGAACACTGGCAGCCCTTGATCCTTTTTTTACCAGTAGAACACTATTCCTTCTTTGGAACATTTCAAGGGGAATCTCTGGAGAACAGGAACACATTTACATCACATAAGTACGCACACAAATTCAGCTTAAAAAGTAATTTATTTTTGTTAAAGTGAGCATAAACAGACTTATTCAATAAGAGAGAGTATGCTAGAGATGTTCCGATCCAGGTTTTTTCACTTCCGATCCGATACCGATATTGTTTTTGGACTTCCGATCCGATACTGGCCGATACCAGCCTATCCGAGCATGTATTTAAGTTTAAGTTAAAGTATTTAGCCTTAGTTGTAAGACTCATGTTGAAAAGGGTTTTAGTACTCTTGATAACATTTGGCCAGCTAAATTAGGTGAGATTGAATAAAACACAATGCTTGGTAACAACAAACTTACCTGTTTATTAAGAGATAAACACAAACTGGACAAAATTATGAATAGCAATCTGAAATTGCACAGTGAACAGTAAAACCGTAAACAGTTAAAGGTGCAAGTATTACTGTAAGTTTTAATAAAAATGCAAAACAGGGAAACACTGGCGCAAAATAGTGGAATGGATCGTTTCAATCGGCGAAACTGGAAAATACGGACCAGATTTTTTTTTTTTTACTGGATCGGCATTTTACATGCTTTGCCGATACGCATTTTTTTGCCAATATCGGCGTAATATAATAATATAATATAATAATTATGACAAGCCTAGAGTATGCATCATAATAGTCATTTTTTGGAGCCAGTAAAGACTCAGATTTGGAACACTGTGTTCCTACACCTAAGGACAAGGGCAGCAGAGAGAATTTGACAAAAGTGCATCCTCCTCATATTCTGCAGGCGTGTCTATAGATACGTTTCACAAACAGCGACAGCAGGGCAGTGTGCTCAGTGGCACGTGGCTCATTAATTAGTAAGGGAAGCATACAACTCCTCTGTTTTATGCCTGACTTAAAGCCACATGAAGTTCCAGGCTATGCTAATAATATTTCCACCTTGTACATGATATGTCTTAACTCAGGCAGCTTTTGGTAAAGTCTTATTCTAGTGGTGTTGCCCAACAAAGACCTGATTTTTAGCTGCAAAATGCTGCAAAAAGGCAAAGAGGGAAAGAGGCACATTTAAAATAAATATTTTTCTTTAGCCACAAGAAAATAGCTAATCATGACATTCTAAAAAAGGTACACAGAAAACCTCACAAAAAAACAAAAAAAAAAACAGAAAGAGGGTGTGCATGGGCACCTGCAGAGGCAAAGGAAATGAGACACATATCCCATCTTAGACAACAACCCATAGTTGGTGATATTGGCAGATTTCAAGATAAATAAAACTATATTTCAGTACAATTTCCCTGCTATACAAAACGCAGTAGTAAGCTTATCCTGACAATGAAAGAAAACTACAAACAGTAGTATTGTTTCCATTTACCTTTATCACTAATTGTTTCCACATCCCTGTTAAAGATGGTTAAACTAGTAATGGTGAGCTTGCAGTTTTCATTTGCAGTAACTTGGCAGAAAATAAATCTCTCATCTGTGTATTTCTGCTGTGAATTGCAGCCAAACACACATGCTGGGTCACCGATATTGTGAAACTGTGTCACTAAGATGGCGCTTTTAGTTACTCAAGCAGTTCTCTGGACTTCCGTAACAAGGAACACTCATTTTAGCGGTTCCAATATAGGAAAACAACAGTTGCTCTTGCGTGTTAAACATTCAGAAATACACCAGAACTAAGAAAAATGTTGGATTATACTACATTTTTAACAAGTTTGTACTATTGATATGTCCACAACTCTCTTCTTTAGAAAGTCAACTATTGTTCTTCTAGCTGTGACATTAACATTTAGTCAATGGCAGTCAGGATTACATTGTAGTCTTCCCCTCACTATACTATTAACAGGTTGGTTTAGGTGTCTTCAGCAGCACAATGTCACAAAACCAAAACTCGTCTTTTCCTTACTTCCTCCTCCAACATTCTGATTTGTAAATAAGGAAACCAGGCCTCCACCCTTTACCCAACCCTCCTCAATCACAGTCTGTAAAGGAAAACATGTAATCCACCAAATAAGGGCTTCACCTCCAACGCACAGCCTGATAACTCTGAAACGTGGGGGCAGCAACAACAAGTTGTCAGTCCCAGAGATGTAACATCAGTCCAACAACTTCCTCCTTTAGCCATTATCTACTCAGTCACTTAGCATCCAAACCCTCAGTTTGTCTGGGAGATGCAGCTATGAAGATGTTTCATTGGGAACCCATTGATACCAGCTAAAGGTTAAATAGCAGGGTTTTAATGTAAACAGGAAAAACCCAAATACACAGGTAAAAGGGCATTTCATAAGGGTACTTTAATCTTCCCTAGACGAGTTAGTTTAGGTCTTCATGCTTTTGCGAAAGCTTAGCACCTTGCCTGTTGCCTGTACATTCAAATCTGAAGGCATAATATACCTTATAATATTAATGTCCTTAAAAATACAACCTCCTTCCAGGTGTTTTTGTAAAAACAGCAAATATTTATAGTTAACTTTCTCAAACCTTTTCTAGTCATTGCATACCATCCACCAAACAGAGCCTTTCCTTTCATATAAAAAGTGCCTCTCTAGTCATTGCAGAATTCTTCCAAAGAGCTGCTTCTTCCACCACAGCCTCGGCTGTGTCAAAGGCATTCACTGTACTCTGCTGGGCAGTATGAACACAGAATGCCTGTGCTCAGTTTAACAGGGGTGAACGGACACAGCAGCAAGTCAAGATTAAATACGTTTTCCAAGCCAAAAGTTGGTCAGTTGCTAAGGCCTGGATGGCAGCTCAGAATTAATGAAAAAGGCCTTTCAGTGTCCAGTTGGGCTGACTTGTACTGTAGTGGATTCACTAGGAGTGTTGAAAAGAATAACACAGGTGCATCAATTTGTTTCAGTAGAAAGAAAAAAAAAAAAAGATTGGATAAAAAATAAAAACTATTAAACCGAGTGAATCACATCAAGCAAGCATTCCTGTTGATTCTTATGATGATTACCTTTATTTAATGAAAACCCTAAACCCCTGCTTTCCTTCAGGTTTAAGACGTTTCCCCGTTTCAGCACAGCTGATTTCTACTGATAGCTGATTAACAGGCTTTGCTGAACTGCAATAAACCTGAATCAGCTGTGCTGATGCTGAGACATTGAAAACCTAAAGGAGAGCAGTCCTTGAGCACTGACTTGGGACATGTCTGCCCCTAAACACAGTTTACTGCTCTGCAAAGGTGTCACAAGAGGTGTCACAAGAGGCCCATGCTGCTTTATAAGCAGACTTTGATTTCTCTGCACTGCCAACATTCTCTTAAGCCGGGCATACACTCTACGATTTTTTTTTTGCAGTTTTTGGTACGATTTTCCAGTCATGCGGGGAATTTTTTCAATCCGGCCGAGTTTCAGCCTCATCGTTAGTTGTGTAGTGTACAAAGGGTAACAAGGGGCGATTAGCCTCTCACGACCACCTCCTGATCCGGAATCGTAAGGTCGGGAGAAAATCAAACATGTTTGAAATTCAGCCGGCCGTCGTGAGGTGTTCGTGGACAAATCCTGCTGTTGAAGCAGAGCTATGAGCGTCTACAAGATGATTTACCAGAACCTTGAGCACTGCATGTGAGCAAACAAGGGAGTTCTTCTGCCAGACTGACAACTCCGACCAGCACCGAGTCCAATGGGTGGTTTTTATACGTGCAGTGTGAGCAGGTAGATTGCATCAGAGCATCGGGCCGTACAGTATGAGAACATACATTGTGAGCTTTGAACTTTCAAACCCTGCAATTTCATCGTACAGTTTGAGCTTTAGCTGCGTGCAATGACTGAAAATATTGCACAGTGTATGCCTGGCTTTAGCAGGTACAGAAGGTACTGGCACATTTTGCTGACTGGGCATGTGTCAAGTCCAGTTTGAAATATCAAACAAGCAACTCCATAAGGCTTGTCAGCAAAGAGCATTAAATAATCTACAAATATCTTTGTAGATGGCAGTGTAAAGTTTAAACTTGATAAAACATGGTGGACCACCATGGCGAAAATGGCTCCCTAAACCATCACTGTCCTTTTAAACATTATACTGGACCTCAAGCAATTTGGGGTCGGGTGTTTCTCCATCCTACTTCCGATCTCTGAGATTAGGATTTCAAAAAATAAAAATCGGTATTCATCTAAGAATTAACTAAAGCTGAATTGACGTTTTTGTATGCCCTTTAGTCTGGGTAAGAAACTTTTTTCTTTTTTATAAAAGAGCATTTTTTGCTGCCAAATGCTTGAAAAATAAATAAAGGATATCTCATGACCAAATATTGTCTTCCACCCAATTGGTATAGGATTTTTTAGCCCTTTTTTTTCCTGTGTGAAATCATTTTGTAAACATATTTGACTTAACCTGATTTCAATAAGATACAATTTTATTTCCTACCCTAGAACAGTTCCTATTTTAAAGGGATGTTTTTTCTAAAGCATTCAGTTACACCTGTACCGTTTCATGTGGACGCCCAACCTGAAGCTGACAGTAACTACCTGCTCAACAACATACCTGACATAGTTGTCCATTTAAAGAAAGAAAAAAATCTGGGAGGAGGCACCTGCTATGTGGCAAGGAGTAACTCACCACACCTCCAAAAAAAACTCCCAATTACAAATAATTATGATCAGTAATGGTTTATCTTTTAATTTTTTTCTTGAAAATAAGTTTAATCCAAGGAGAAAGTACAGAATCATAGCATAGACAAATTACACTATAACAGAGAATATTTAAAGAGTCTTACCTTGTAGACCTTCCCAAACGCACCGTCCCCCAGCTCCCCTACTATCTCCCAGATGTCATTAGGGTTGATGTCCCGGCTGACGTGCTCATACTGTTTGAGTTTCTTTTTCAGCTCAATGGTTGGCAGTCGGAGAATTTTACTAAATCTTGCGAGTGCCATAACTGGTGTGACGCGTTTAGAATCAAATAAAAAAGATAAAATAATAAAAGTAAAATAATAGGTGGCTGCTGGACCTTTACGCAGACCGCACGCGCGTAGAGACGCTAAAAAAGCAGTAACTTCACTTTACGCGTCCTTCGACTGTCAAAAAAAAAAAAAAGAAACTAAATATTTTTGAAGAAGTTAATCTCCATCCATTCTACTCCAGCCAGTTGATCTGCTGGTTCTATGGTGAGAACATGTCAGTAATCCGTGTTAGAAATTGGGATAGAAGTGCGGGACGCGCTCTGACCACCTGCCGCTGATTGGCTTCAGCCTCTCTGTGCGTTTTCCTGTCTGTCTATCTGCGTGACTGACTGACTGACTGACTGACGGAGCAACTTGTTGATTCAAACCGAGAGAAGCCCCACCTTGTTGCGCAACAGCCTTCTATATGGCGTCACGGAAATGTAGTTCCTCAAGCTGCTTTCATTGTGGTTCAGATGGGGGAAAAGGACTTCATATCCGGGTTGATGTGAGCAGCAGCTCCCATTGAAGTTTAAAGCCCCGTATTTGACAACCATACACATAGCCTATATATAATTTATATGTTAAAAATGACTGTTGCCTCAGGCCAAAATATAATGAATATTGAATATATTTTTTGCAGAAGGTAAATTAATCAAATTAAAAAGGGAAACATTTAACTCATCATCAATAGTTTCTAACAGACCGTTCCTAATGAAGTCAGTTTACTTTTCACTTATAGAAACGAAGAAACAGCTCCCTCTGGTGGAGATAGAACAATTCACACTTTTCATTTCTCCCACCATACTGTATCTTTCCCTTCAACTGCCTAGGCGGCCAAAAAAAAGGAAAAAAAGCACGCCTTTTAGCACCCAATAATATATTTAAATACAGAAGAGTGGGCCAAACTAACAGTGAATTTCGTCTTTCAACTAAAATCAATCAATTATTAGACCAAATGAATCTGCAGCCATAATAATAATAATAATAATAATGATTTTTTTGTGATCTTTGACTTCTAAATAAAAAAAATAATTATGACTAAATTGATGTAAACGGAAATTCTACTTTTTCACTGGCAGCTTTTGTGCCTGGGTTATTTTTGTGCTTTATAGATCTGCTTGTATTGTCTTTTAGAATAAGCTGTGCCATCTCTGCTGTCTTTTGTTTTTTCATCCATCTGATTAAAAACATTAACACATTATTTCTACTCTCTTTAGTACAAAGTTTGGTTAAACAAAAAATGCTTCTTGATGTTTATATAAAAATTAAAAACTGAGCAAAGATAACCGAGCATTTCCTGGTCCATCTTTTAATGCTATATGTAAATACAGTAGCATTTGAGATATTTTAAACAGAACATTTTTGTCTTTTAATTTTTGTCTTTTACTGTAAAAATGTCTTTTCCAGCTTTCATCAAAAACAGTCCATTGGATAAATCAATTAGAGCTGCAACACATGTAAAATCTGCTGCCAAACACCTGAACAAATACAGGAAATTGCGGGTCACTTTTAATTTTTTTTTTTAATGCAGTGCAAATCCCTTTAATTTTACACAATGGGGAAACTCAATCTCTACATTTAATCCATCCCCTTTGGGGAGCAGTGGGCTGCCATTGCTGGGTTCCCAGGGAGCATTGTGGGGATAAGGGTTTTGCTCAGGAACCCAGAGTGGAGGCTGTAGGGATTGAACCAGGTACTTGCAACCTTCTCAGTGCACAAGCGCACTGCTCTAACCACTAGCCCAACACTCTCCAATATAACTTCAGCCCTCAAAATTGCTGCACTTCCAAAGCATGTGTTTAAAATCTTGTTATCAGCAAAGTTTTAATCAGTCCTGGGCCCTCATCCATATCCCAGTTCCTTGTTAAAACCCTAAGGTCATCTGAGACCAGGCTTTCTTTCCTCAGGGGACTATTTCTACTTTAGACTCTTTGAGAGAATTTTTTTTATGTGATGGTTATTTTTTTCTAATATTCTTAAATGCATTGGTTAATATTACTGTTACGTTTTTCATTTTCCGATAAGGCATTTTAAAATTGCCTTGCCTGTTAGTTGCCTTTGTCAAAAATCCTTTCCACCCTAAGGCAAGGCAAGACAAGTTTAATTGTACATCACAATTCAGTACATGGACAATTCAAAGTGCTTTACATCAATTAGATAATAAACTAGAAGAAACAAAGCTAAAACATTTGTCAAACAAATAAAACACTTGGACCACAAAAAAAAAAAAAAAGCTGAATAAAAGCAAGCAAAAACAAAGTAAGTTTATGAACATTTTGGACAGTACAATGCAAATTGAAGTGCAATTCATTAAGGGACTGACGTATTACATTTAAATGTTAAATGGCCTGTACTTATATAGTGTCTTTTTCAAGTCAGTAGATTTGACTGCACTCTACAATCAGTCATGCAACCATTCATGCACACACTCACTGGGTGTCAAACTAAAAACACCAGCAGGTCTTCTGACTAGTAGAGGTAGGAGATGCAGGTGAAGTGCCTTGCCCAAGGACACAATGGCCATGAAAGGTTGTAAGGTAAACTTCTGAACTTCTGACACCATTATTTAAAAAGCATAAATATAATGTTATTTTCAGCACATTTAACATTAAGTTTAAATACAGTATAAATAAAACAGTAGCAATTTTTATTACTTGTTGCTCTCTGCATCTTGAGGTCTACAGGTGGTTTCAAGGAGTTATGAGGTTTGCTGCTGTCTTGGGTTGACTCTGAATAACAGTCATCATCAGAAGTAGATAAGCATTTCTTGTGCTTTTTTTGTTATGCTTCACAATTTGAAACCTGCATAAAACTCTGGAGTATAAAAACTGTTTGAAATATGCAGCTGTCCTTTTTACAATGACCAAAAATGTATATATTTAATTAATTGTATGTAACAGTACAGATCATTTTCATCATTCTTTCCCCCAAAAACGTTATTTACTGTGAATGCAGCTTTTAAAATGTTAATAAAGAATAAACTGTGAAAGGGTAATAAGCTGTACAACATGAAACAGATATTTCAATTGGTATTATGTCTTTAAGATAACATTAAACATCAGAATTATAGTTCAGGATAAAGTTTATGCTAGGGGTGTTAAGAGCTTTACTAACTTATAATTCCCTGCACTGCAAAAAACATCTAGAAATAAGTAAAAAAAAAAATGTCTTAAATTAAGTGTATTTACCCTTAATTTGAGCAGGTAAATAAGATGATCTGCCAATGAAATTAGTATTTTTACTCCTAAAATAAGATAATTAGATCATATACACTTGAAATAAGACAAAGGAATTGTTTTTTTCATATTTTAAATGTAAATTGGCAAAGTGTCTCACTTACCTTCTCAATTCAAGAAAAAATGCACTTAATTTGAGCAAAAATTACTTATTTAGATTTCCATTTTTTGCAGCATGGACACACTCTGTGCTATTAAACACATAATTATCTGTTGCATGTATGGACATATGTTAAAATACAAGAAGATGTTATTTGCAATGATAAGTAAGTAAGTAAGTGAGTAAGTAAGTTTCTCATAAGTAAGGTAAGCAGTTTAATTAAATAAAGAAATATTTCAAACTATAGTGTATCAACAGATCTTCCAATGGTTTATTTTGATTATAAATTGTTTTATTTTTAGTCCTCCAACCTGATGTCCTCATATGTCCTCATTATAGCTCCTGTACTGCCCTGCAGACAATAGCCTAGAGTTAAGAGACAAGCTCATGCAGGTCGAGTGTGGCCCACAGAGGTTACCACTAATCTGCCCACACTAATTGCTTAAAACTGTTGCACTCATGTTTACTTTATTCAGCTCTGTGAGATCAGTTCAGCTTCACAAGTGTAACCAGATGACCTGAAGCCCTTTCACTTCCTTTAAGTTCAGGGGGAAAAAATAAGTTATGGAATATTTATTTATAACTTTTTGCATTTTTAAAACATGATAGCTGTTTAAATAAGGTAAAACAGACACACACACACACAAAATGAGGACATAAAAAAATTGTATTTTCTTTGCCTTGGTATATTCAAATATAACATTACTATTAACACTATTTCTTTCACATTTTGAAAAGTGAAAACTACAACTTCTGTATTTTTATGGGAATTTATATGATAAACTTAGTGGCATGAAGTGAAAAAAAAAGCATGCAGGGTTTTCCGTTTTCACATGTTAGATCCAATAAACGTGACAAGCATTTGTAATCATCCCTTTTACTCTTTTGCTTTAAAATAAATAAGTACAACCATTTGTTATTGTTGTTTTCTTTCATGTCATCTAGTTCGTAAAAGGAGTCCACTGTCCAAGCTCGTAATAAACAACATAAGTTAAAATAACTATGCAGATAAAACACAGCTGTAATGTCATTAGGTAATTATGAAGTATTGAAGCGCTTTATTAGAAGATGTGCTACCATTTTATTCAGCTAAATAAACACAAAACTGAGGTTAGAACACAGCTTCAGTTAACAGAGCTAAAAAGCACCAATTAGGCTTGAAGTCTTGGAGTAGTGATGGACTCAGACCTAAACCTTCAGGGGCCCATAAAGACAGTAACAAATAGGGCAAATTTTATTTATTTATTTTGTTCTGTTGCTTTTCTTTTTTAGTCATTTATAGAGCAGTTCATCAAAAATCATCAAAATGTTATTATAGACATAGGACGCCCGTATATATTTAAGAACCTGGACAGTAAAATATTCAAGATTTAAAATTAGCCAGAGACACCTTTTTACACTTAACTTTAAATTCCTTTCCTTTTTCTTCTCTGTTTACTTTCATAAAGAAATTGTTTGGAGGCATCAACTCTATGAGAATAGGTGCCTAACAGAGGTGTCAAAAGCATTAATGCTTATTTCTCAGGTAGAAGTATAAATCCTACTGTTTAAAAATGCTTAAACTTCTTAAAGTATGAAAGTAAAAGTAATGCAGGAAAAATATTAAAGACAGATGCTTTAAACCTTATACTGGTTACTGCACAAAGCTATTAAAGGATTTTTTTCTACATTTCTGGAGGATAACGTCCTTATATTTAATTTTCTTGGCTTAAACTCACTGTAACAGTGTCAAATTTGACTTTGCATCTTGAAAAAAGGATTTATTTTGGTTTGTGCCCAAAGGCACCAAGGGGCCCTCAAGGACCACATAGGATGCTCTTAGCATCTTCTGAAAAAAGATGAATACAACAGAGGGCAATGTTTATTTTTTACTTTTTTTTGTTCTGTTGCTTTTCTTTTTTAGTCATTTATAGAGCAGTTCATCAAAAATAATCAAAATGTCAACAATAATCATCAAAATGTTATTGTAGACATAGGAAGCCCGTATATATTCAAGAATCTGGAAAGCAAAATATTCAAGATTTAAATTTATCCAGAGACAACTTTTTACACTTTAACTTTAAACAAAAGTTGTCACTTCCTCACCTTTTTCTTCTCTGTCTACTCTCATAAAGAAATTGTTTGGAGGCATCAGCTGTATGAGAATAGGTGCCTAACAGAGGTGTCAAAAGCATTAATGTGTATTTCTCAGGTAGAAGTATAAAGCCTGCTGTTTAAAAATGCTTAAAAGTTAGATTATCAACTTAAGCTTTTTAAAGTGTAAAGGTACCATTTTTTAAAACTTCTTAAAGTATGAAAGTAAAAGAAATGCAGGAAAATATTAAAGACAGATGCTTTAAACCTTATACTGGTTACTGCACAAACCTATTAAAGGATTTTTTTCTACATTTCTGGAGGATAATGTCCTTATATTTAATTTTCTTGGTTTTAACTCACTGTAACAGTGTCAAATTTGACTTTGCATCTTGAAAAAAGGATTTATTTTGGTTTCTGCCAAAAAACAAGTGGGCGCAGTACCAAATCATACCACAAGGAAATTAATTGTCTGGATCAAACAAATTATTTTGATGGCATGTATTTAATTTTTTTAATTATCAGGCCATAGCGAAAATTTCTATAAATCAAAAACTGGGCTCGTAGAGCTCTGTGTGCTCTGGGTCTGGGGGAGAGTGGTCTAAAGTGGGGGTCAGATTTTTCTTTATTTCTTTGGAATCTCTGCTATTGGGTAGTTCCAACCCAACTTTACCCAATTATGGTAAAGAGATAATAAGTTAAGAGTAAAAGAATGCAAGGAACCAGGGAAGAAAAGTGTCTTAACAGGCAGAAACAGGAGTAGTGTCACCTTGTACCCCCCAAATTCAGCTAAACTGGATAAGCGAGGGCTTTAATCCATAGATGGTAACTGTTAAGGAGCTGAAGAGATTCCTGATTTAGGTGAAATAATCGTTCAATTTCAACAAGTATTACTCACACACGTTACAAATCAAAAAGTGCAAATAAACTCTTTGCTACAGCAAGAGGCAACCATTAACAGTCCATACCTGCTTTGGTAAGATGTCAACCAGACTGACCTTCATAGTATACTTTCAAAAAAGCTGTGAAAAAGGAATGGAACCCAGATGACCTTTACCACATCCTTCTGAAAGTAAAACATGATAATAGAATCATGTTGCTCTAATGTATGGTTTTTCCTCTCAGCAGGAACAGAGCACCCTTTCATATTACTCGATAGAGCTGAAGTTCATTTATTTTACATAAAATAAAACAAAGGTTTAAAAAAACAATTTTTTTTACATTTTTATTTGTAAAATGTCTGTTTTCCTTTCGTTTGCAGCATTTCAATTAAATACTTTAAGCTCAGTTGTTGCAAGTGTAAAATGTTTTAAAAAATAGTTCCAAGGGCAATAATACCTTTGCAAGGCACTGCGTAAACATAACAAAAACATTACCTTTTTCATTTTTAACTAAGCATTTTTTTTTCTACATGGAGAGAAAAAAAAAAACTTTTTATGTGAAACCAACAATACGTTTGACAAATAATCCTTTAATAAATCTTGGCATAAAATATAAAGCTTATAAAAAGAAATAGATATGAAAACATTAATTTTCACTTCTTTCAACTCTCTTTGGACTGGAGAGACTGGTGGGATTTCAGTATGGATAGTATGGATAGTATGGACGCTCCAGCGCAGCACAGTCATAGATTGTAAACACCAGGTCCTGTTAAAACACAAAACATAATCAAATTTAAATATTTATACATATATGTTAATATCAAGATGAGAACTATGTCAGCCTGTAATGGCATTTTCCCATTCATTAAAGCACCTCTGTTCAAAATACATAAGATTTGTTTTTGTACAATATACACAGCCTCCTACGAGACACTCTGACCCTTACTTTTTATTGTATTTTTAGTCTATGATTTACTGATTACTGCGATGTCTGCTTTTCACACCATGTCCCGTTCTGCTCAGACAGGTCACCCTTGTCTGTTAAAGAACACTGCCTGTAGACCTAGATGTGTTTCACTCCCTCCCCCTGATCATGTGAGTGGGTTCTAACATCCCTGCAGGACAGCACAGTTTTCATAATCTGCGTCATAAACCGTGCCTAATCCTGACAGAGCACTCACTGGGTGACCCATTAAACTGCAGACTGTCTGTTTTTTTTCTCTCCATTTTTGGCAACAAGTGAACAAGTGAAGTATTTAAGTATTTAAAAATGTGCCTAATGATTTTGACATATTTTACTCCCTCCTGATATTCCATTCCTACAGACGCCTAAATTTCAAATAGGGCAGAACAGTTTGCATCAAATCAAAATAGCATTTTTAATCTATATTGTTTTTTTCAATATTATCATCAATCATGCAGATGTTTCACTCCAGTGTTTCATTGGTTTCATGAGCTTGAATGCTTGTTTGTCAAGAGTTCATTGTGCAGCAGTTAACTGTTACGGTTCCGGGGAAAGTATTTACTTCAACACGCATGCATGAATCTGCACTCAAGCTGTTATTGGTCAGGTCATACCCAGGGCAGTCCCAGTTTGCACCCAGAAACCAGAGACCCAGGGGTGCACCACCCCTAAACAGAGACCCCACAAGGAAACAGAGACACATTCACAGGCATCCAGTAACATTCACTGAATCCAATCGTATCCTCACACAGACATAAACAGACAATCAACACACATAGAGCGCCAAGTGCAGCCCAGGTGGAACACCACCCAAACACCCACACACCTACAGTAGGAGGAATACAATCCTGCAATGTGCCAGCCATGACGTCCAATATTAGATTTGTTAAAACAATAGGGTATATCTGTTTATAGGTACTGTTCAAATTCAATTTTACAAAACATTTTTTATTCTCACCCCATGGCATTTCTGTCCTAAGATGATGAACAGCTGACGCAGAGTGACTTCCAGCTTCCTCACTTCTTTGGTGTAAGCACAGCGCCGCAGTCTGAGGTGTTCCACCATGGAGATGTAGTCCCTTATTTTGTGCATCACACAAGCATTCTGTCAAGAGTAACAATTAAGATTCCATGCATGACTTAAAGGAGCTGAGGTTTGCAGCCAGAGCACCACAGAAGTCTAGCTGCAGCCATGAAAAACTTAATAACATTTATGTAACTACTGACACAGAGTTTTTAAAGACTTTGGCGATTTGTTTGTCTTTTGTTAAATAATTTTACATTTTAGCCTGATTTTCAAGGTCAAACTTACATGAATGTCAAAATAAAGATCGGGCATGTGTGCCATACAGTGACCCTGGAACAAAAGAAAAACAATAGCTGTGAGAAAGAACAAATAAATGGATCAGACAGCAAAAACAGGTAGGATCACTGCGGTGACTTACAGTTTCATAGCCTATCTTCAAATCTGCTGCCATCTGGCTGAGCTCTGCAGCCATGCTTAGAGCCTTGGAGTAGCATGTTGGTGGGAAGAAAGGGTAACTCACTGCCATAGGTACCACTGATAAAACAAGAAGCAGCTTCTTTAAGATCGACATGATGCTCCGAGACCTGCTGTGCTAACTGAGTCTTTTTCTGACTGACCAGTGCATGTATTTAGCCACGTAGGCTAGTGGACAGATTATAACACACCCTCTTTGTTTACTCCAAAGTTATGTGGAAGTATGGCCTTTGAGGATTCATTTTGGGAGATAAGAACGTGGTTGTTTTGGTTTTGAGAAACTCAAAGAGGTATTTTGTTTTGTTTTTTGGCAATGAAGGAGACTTTAACTATAGGTAACTATAGTTCCAAAACTCTCCATGTTAGATATGATTAACTTATCCCTGTTACAAGGTTATGCACCAACCTTTAAGATAGCTGTAAATAAAAATTACTTAAGAAACCGTCTCTTGACCCAGATGACTTGGCCATTTATAGACCTATATCTTATCTTCAATTCTCTTTTTTTCAGTTTTTACAGCAATAGTGGGTTGTTTTTTTTTGACAGTAGGCTGACAGGAAAGGGGGAGAGACATGCAGGAAAGGACCACAGGCCAGATTCGAACCTTAGTCGCACACGTCAAGGACTAAGGCCTCCGTACATGGGTTGTGCACGCTAACCACTGTGCCACCTGCACATCCTGTAAAATTCTTTTGAAAAGGTTTGCTAAACAAGTGTGTGACCACTTACAACATAATGAACTTTTTGATTAGTTGCAATCAGGTTTTAGAGCTCATCATATCACTGAAACAGCTATGGTCTTTTATCAGGGATCTAATCATTCCTTCGGTCCTGACAGAGCACTTTGCTCTCAATCTGCAGGTATATTAGTGGTGTCTAAAAGTAGAATGGTTGGAAGATCTTTTAGGTATCAGGCTCCTCTCACTGGAAAAAATCGAAATCTAGATACGTCATTTTTTCTTAAAATAAGTGCATTTGTTCTTGGATTAAGGAGGTAAAGGAGACATTTTGCCAATGGAACAAGACAATTCACACTTAAAATAAGAGAACACAATTGCATTGTCTTATTTAAAGTGCATATTATCTAATTGTCGTATTTTAAGAGTAAAAACACTAATTCCATTGGCAAACTATCTCATTTACCTACTCAAATTAAGAGTAAAGTCAGATTAGAGTCAGATTATCCTGAGCTATCTCTATAGTTATGCTGATATAGGATTAGACCGCAGGAGGACATAGGGACCCTTTTTCATCATTCTGTTTTATTCTCTCTCTATTCTCCCATTCTGCACTCTTTGTTAGTTAAATCTCTAACGTTATGCGCTCTCTGCCTTTTTTCTCATCATAGTAGCTTTATCTGTTCTTTTCCCATGTGGCTGTGACTCCATCCTGGAGAGAAATATCAGCTGTGCTGCTGCCAGTGATATCTGTTTAAAGATGTTGGAGCTCGGCCTGTTTTTCAGTGTAGCCCAGTTTCTCTACTGTATGTGCTCTCTTTCATCCTTTAAATTAGCAATGTACAAATAAAATGTATGAAAATTAATAATGGATTTTTCTCTAATATTAAACCCTGACCTCCTTAAAGCTTTAATTCATGTAAGCTCAAACTGTAAAGCTCCCTTCTGCTAATTTATTCTTTTTTTTATCCACTAGGTGGGGTTGATTTTCAAGAAACTTTTATTTCAATGTCCTCTTCTGCTTATTTTCTTTTACACTTACAATACTGGCCATTGATATTCAAAATAAACCTATGAAATCCGATAGACATAGTTCACTTTGCAGGCCAACAAATTATATCCACTTACAAAACTTGCTGAGGCCTCCCACATGAAAAGTACCTTCCTTTGTCTCATTGCAGATATGATATGACACAGTCATCACTCACCCAAACCATAAGATTGGTACGGCTCCTAAAATACTTCCAAAATCCCAATAAGGAATTGTTCAGGTTTTGAATGATGTTTGTCACTCTTCAAAGCATGCTGAGATCTTGAGTGAATGAAGATTGATGACAAACGCACACATTCATACCCGCATACACACAAAAAGCTTTGGCTTGACTGAACAGCAAGAAGCAAAAAAACTGAACAGTCTGCACTGTCAGCATATCTTTCATCCCCCAGTCCCACCACTCAGCTATTCTCCTTCTGACCTTGGCCCTCTGAATTAACAGGGGGGCACATATGAGATTGCTGTCATTTTAATGGATGGATGTGTTTTACACTTTTGAGTTAATGGCATCACCAGTTAATGGATGGTGACGAGTTTACAAACGGTTCAAAACTTTGCAAACTATGATTAATCAAAGAAATGCTCTGGCTTGCAGGTTTGAGGACAAATCAAAGCGATGGACACAAAAAGAAAAAATCATACCTCTTAGTTTTTCCCACATTTTGTAAAAGCAAAGAGGTTTTGAGGGGAATTATATGTTACTGACACCACAGACATCTGGACATCTGTGTCTCATTTAAATTCATTTTTCATATGTAAATGAGGATAGAGAGAACAGTAAGAAAAAAATATTGTTAAGGCTATAAAACCTCTTCCTTAAAAGATCAGATTATTAATAACCAAACTTATTAAAAAGTTATTCACAATATTAATTTCACTTTCAGATACAAGCTTCCAGCATGTCGAAGTAAATGGACACCTGCATAGCATTGCATGAGCCTAAATAATGCTATCTTAGGATAGTTGAGGAGGTTTTTTGAGTCTCATTCTCTTTAATATTGTAGACCTCCTTGCAGATTTATTTTCTGCACGGTGTGTGAAAATAGAAGCGCTTATGCATGATTCTGCATCCAAAAAACAATGAAGGGCTGCCTTTATTTATCTACACCCTAAAACGGATCGGTCAAACCCGAAAGGGCCAAAATTGGTGCATGGAAAGAAAGTTGCATAGGATAGACAGTACATACAGTGTGTCCACATATGATAGATACTTTTTTTTTTTTGGTAGGTTGATTCAGGGGCGGAGCTAGATGGGGGCCCAGGGGTGGCCACTCCAACCATTGTTTTGCCCCTAATAATCAAGTGGAATATTCCAAACATTTTAATTTTTCATATATTACTTAGTATTTTTTCATATATGCATAATTACTTGATAAAAGGAAACACTGTGGTTAATTCTGCACATCAATATACTAACATTAAAGGTGGTAAGTACACAATTCCTGCTCTTTTCAGAACTAGATTTTTTGTTTTATGGGGTAAAGAGAAAATGATGTGTCTCTGCATTCATCTAGGAGTCTTTAGTGAAATCATAGATAAATAATTATTTTTATAAAAATTTATTAAATAATCAATTTATGTAGATATTAGTACTTGTAAATATCAATTTTATGCAGGATGATTATTGATAAAAGTAGGTAAGTAATGACAATGGCAAAGATGTTTGCCCCAGAACTCAAACCTGAAAGAATTTGATCCATTTTACCTTTTATCTAAAAAGCATGGATGTTTAAATATATACGTCCTATTTGTTAGCAAAGGCTGTAGGAAAGTATAGTTTGTCTTTATTTAGAAAATATGGATGTTTTGCTTGTTCATTTTCAATTCAATTCAATTCAGTTTATTTATACAGCGCCAAATTCACAACACATGTCATCTCAAGCCACTTTACAGTTCAACCAGATCATACAGTCAAATTGATACAAAGTTTTCTATCTAAGGAAAACCAGTTGATGGCATTGACTCATTGGCTCAAATACAATCCCTCACACTAAGCATGCTTGTAGCGACAGTGGAGAGGAAAAACTCCCTTTTAACAGGAAGAAACTTCCAGCAGAACCAGGGTCCAAGGAGACAGAAGCAGAGATACAAGAAGCAGCTTTAAAAGGCGGCCCCGTCCAGGAAACACACAGCCAGGCAGACGAGCTCCGAGCCAGTTCCCATGCCAGAGGACGAAGAGAGCACATCCACTCAGTCCCGGTTCCTGTTGGAACAGTGTAGATTGACCCTGAGGTTCTGGTGCTTATCCATTTTCGGCCACCCCAGTATACACCGGTTATTGCCTGGCCATCCATTTAATTTTATGGCTACGCCTCTGGGTTCATTATATCGGGGTTATTTCACAGGGTGTTTACATGGGTATTTATATAAATGCAGTTGTAGTTTCTTTGTTGTAATAGATTCAATCTTAAACCACTATTCCATAGTAAAAGTGTGAGGAGAAGCAAAATTGCTTGAAATATCAGCTGAGTCCCATGTGAAGTGGCCTCCCGGTAGGTGCTGCCTAGGACTCTGTTTTAAAGGAATCATCGACATACAAACATAAAGTTGAGAAATCCTGATGTTAGGGTGGCTATCCTTATAAAAATATAATTATTTCATAATAATAATAAAAAATCAGACCTACAACCAATAACTTCTACACTGCAAAAAACATCTAGAAATAAGTAAAAATGTCTTAAATTAAGTGTATTTAACCTTAATTTGAGCAGGTAAATAAGATAATCTCCTAATGGAATGAGTATTTTTACTCTTAAAATAAGATAATTAGACACATCAATTTTTTTTCTTATTTTAAATGTAAATTGTCTGTTCCATTGGCAAAGTGTCTCACTTACCTCCTAAATTCAAGAAAAAATGCACTTAATTTGAGCAAAAATTACTTATTTAGATTTTGATTTTTTGCAGTGTACATTTAACAGTATCCATCGGTGGATGATGGATGTTCGGCACTTTCAGAAAGACATGTTACATCATAACCAGGTGTAAGTCACATAATGATGATGATGGTGAGTGTGTCTGCATGCGTGTGTTGTGGAGGGGGCGCCCACGGGGGAACCTCAGCCCAGTCTCCCCAGCGGGGAGCCTAACAATGAACCGTGTTGGTGTCCAGCCCATTCACTAAGGCTGAGATGTGGAAGTCAGTCGCGCATCAGAGCAACCTGCGGCGCACTCCTCCTCTTGGAAAATCCCCGTCTGTGTTGCCTTTGTCCTTCAGAAACGCTGCTCGGGTTTTCGCATTGCTCTCCAGCGCCGCATCTCGCGAGTCACGTCCCGCTGCGCGAACCCATTTTTCGGATGGCTGGTGTCCCGGTGCGTTAACGTCCGAACTGCAACTACTGCTTTCATCTGGACTGTTGCTTACGACTCTTCGCTTCTCTGCAGCAAGCTCGGCTGGAAACGGTGCCCGGCTTAATAAAACTGTATTGAAGAGGTGGGTGCACCCCTAG